AGCAGGAATCTGATGAACTCTGACTTTCATTATATTGAATTTCTGTGAGTTCTGCAGGCTAAGTAAAGAAAAGTGGATTCCCTTTTTTTCAGTGTAAAATGTGCAACTTGGTAGTTTGCTCACTGAATATCATTTGAGGGAGGAACATCCAAGTTACTGCCTTTCTAGCACTGAGTATGCTTTATGACTGTATCGGGCACCTTCTTCCTTGATTTCTCTCTGCCCTGCACGTTTTTTGATCTCTCTTTACAAGGAAAGTATTTTCCATGTCTCTACATTTCAGTTTATTGTTGCAGGAATTTGACTTCACAGCTCCATTTAACAGTGAGACTTATGTGGCTAAACCCATGCATCGCGCTTAAAATTTAATCCACATGACTAATCCTTTTAGTGGGTTGTCTATGTGTAATAAAAGCTACAGGTTGGCCTTTAATAATAGCGACATTCCTACTTGAAATACTTTCCCCTCTTGCTGCTTGAAGGGTCTGTGATATCTTCCAAGTGCAAATGAAAAATGAATGTTTCGAATCTGCAGGTTGTATAGCTTGACCAAGTAGAGCAGACCTCCGTTACCTACCTGTATGCAGTCCTATTCGTATCCTGACGGGTACTTCTGGCATGTGCCTCATTTTAAAAGAGCCCACTGAACTGAGAATGTCCAGAGACATATTGGCTATTTCAGCAGCGTGCTTGTTTCCATTTCGTTTTGGAAGCCCCGATGCGACCATGTAGGCATCACCAATTGTTTCCACCTGAAAAAGAAGGGGAAAAAACCATGGAATTAAACTTCAAGAGTCTGATTTTATTATCACTTCTGGAGCCCCAGATAAGAAGCGGACATGAAGTGGAGTTCAAGCATTGCACTGGTTTTCCAGTGCACCCAAACAGACACCAGTCAATGAAACACCCCAGCCAAGGGGTTGCAACCAGGGTGGCCGAGTTATAATCCTTTCCTCACCTTGTAAACATCATGATTACCAAGGACAGCATCAAAGAGTGTATAAAGATCATTGAGGAGATCAACCACCTCAATGGGCTCGCTAAGGGCGGAGATGGTCGTGAATCCAACGATGTCACTGAAGTAGATGGTGACCTGGTCAAAATATTCTGGTTCGACCGTGCCACCGGTTTTAAGTGCTTCTGCCACTGACCTGAAATGACAGGAGGTGATGAAAGGCAACTTGACAAGCGTCTTTATCCTTGTAAGTTCAAATGATCTTAGGTTGCAAGATGCTATAGATTGTGACGTGTTGGTATAGCTTTTGATCTGAGGGCCGGGTCTTTTACTTGCTTAGCAGCTCCAGATAACAACTGGATCATCCACTGCTACCCATTTACATGTATTTCTTTAGTAGCAGGTGTAAGGCAATTGACTTTGGCTTCAGATAAACCCTTGGTTCTCACCTGGGCGGAGAGTACCATATTTTCTCACATACCACACACCCCAGCATAAAATATACACCTTGATTTTTGAAAGGCAAAATGAAGACAAAGAGATCCTTGCAGGAAAAAACTGAGCAGCAGCAGCGAGAGAACAGAGCCTGCTCGTTGTTCTGCTTTCTATGAGTCCATGCAGATTTTATTTTTACTTTTGCTTGGTAACCAGCAGAGACTGCTCTTACCATTTTCCTTGCATATAACACAAATTGCCATTTCTAGCAGCTGTTAAAAAAAAAAAAAAGGTACGTTCTGTACATGAGAAAATATGCACCTGCCGTAGGCCAAGATCCTGCTATCATAGATTCAGCTGAATCTGTGAGAGCACATGTCCAGAGGTCCCTAACCTCAGTAGGTCTCCATGTGGGCAACGGTGTCCAATCACACAACCACAACCGTAGCTTGGGAAATGTTCAGAGCACCTGTGGGTCCTGTAGGGGAGGAGTGTCAAACATTTGGCCCATGGGCCAGATCCGGCCTGTGAAATGGTGTCATCTGGTTTATGGGCCTCTGCAAAGATCAGGGAATTTGGGAGCAAGGCAAGTGGGGGGTACAGAGACCCACCAGGGATGAATTTCAGCAGCAGTGGGTAAGCGATGGCTGCATTAACTGGCTGCCCAGCCTCTACCACTGGCCCCAGCACCAGGCATGAGTCTAGATCCAGCCCCTGAGGAGCCCTGCAGTCCACATCCAGCCTAGGTGGTCCAACCATTTTGTTGCCCCTGCTTTAGGGCAAAGTGGCTTCATAACTAGACTGCCCTTGCATTTTTTTACTTACGGGGGGAGCATTTGCGACAGAAGTTTCTCTGTCTTCTGTTTTTCAATTTCCAGCTCTTCTGTCCGTTCCCGGATTAAATCTTCCAGGTTGCTCGAGTACTGCTCAAGCATTCTGAGCATGGAGTCAATGATATTGGTTTTTTTGCCTTTGTTGATGGTTTTGAACTGGAAAATTAAACAGCAGGGTCATTTCCCCGTAATATTTTAAATCAGCACGGGGATGCTAGTGTCAGCGGGACAGAAGCGGACAAAAAACCTACGCCTGTCAAAGCTGAAGGTGAAATTGTGATGAAAGGTTTTGTCAAATGCATAAACTCTTTAAGATCCCAGATCAATTTAGCAGTCTTATTAGCAGGTGGCCAGCCCTGCTCAAAGCCTAAGCAACACTTAAATCCCACATAAGTCTTCTTGGGCATAAAGCCACCATTCCTATTTTGCACAGGGTTTCTGTACAGGTAGGGAAAATCCTGGGCCCTGTGGGGGTGGCCAATCAAGTGGTGGCCTGGGGCTATCACCCTTGAGTATGTGTGCCCCTGCTTAAGCAAGCATGTACACAGTCTCCTTTTGTTCCCCTTCCTGAGTTGTACTGGACACTTCTCCGTTCCAGCAGAGGATCCAGGGCATCAACCCAGATTTTATGTTGCATGCTGCCTCATTCCCATCTATTGAAATCAAGGGGAATTGCACAGATGCATCTGAAAGCACAATTCCTTATATGTTCACAGAGCTTAAGGGCAGAAGGGAACGACTGGACTATATAGCTCAATCTCCTGCATGTCACAAGCTATTAGATTGAAGCCAGCGTCTGCTGCTGAATTTGGACCTTACAAGGTGCTTGAGCAATTGCCCTGAAAACAAATGAAAAGCTTTTTAGTGAATCTTTCAAGGTGAAATAGTAGCTGGCGTTCACACTCCGCTCTTTGCAGACCCAAAGCACAATGCAGACATGAGTCCTAACCCTGTGAGGACGTGGGTAAGCGTTGCAAGTCTGAGACATCAACTCAAATTCCACCCCAGCTCGGGCCGCATGCTGTAGTACGCTGAACTGGAAGGTGACACGTGGGGCGTAAAGCAGGCCAGCTGATGTAAATAGTGTTTGAAGACTTCCTGGGGAGCCAATAGCAGAGCCATTAGCAGGACTCAGAAGTTCCCTGCCAAAGTGAGTTTCGAAGACCTCTTGCCTTTAAAAAAGCTACTCCTCTTCCAAGTAGGAATAGCAGAGGACTACACCCTACTTACTGACCTTATTAAATACCTCCTCAAATGTGGGTCTTCGTTCTGGCGATTCGCTCCAGCACTGTTTCATCAACTGAATACACTCCATGGGGGCCAGCTCTATGGCGATGTTTGGCCGACAGATGGGTGGAGGCTTCTTCACCTTCTGGATGATTTCTAGAACAAAAGAAGATGGCAAAATATGTCGCGGAGGCTGTCCTTTGGTGGGCGGGAGAGACACTGCACTTTTTGCCTCCCCATTGCTGCCACCAACGTGGCCTGAGTCTGTCTGGCCAAAACTTCTGCATCTGGCTGCTGGGTAAAATGGGCTTTATAGTTTCTGCCCTGTTCCTACCTGCCAGGTAATCATAAACAGCTACTAGTACTTGGCTGGGAGATTTAATAGCTAGAGGCTGAACTGCTCTCTTAGATGCGGGGCCCACATCATCATGAATGAAGTAGGGTAGCAGGGAGCGTGAAGGAAGCTTGTGCTATCAGTCACAAGGCTATTGACAGACAGGTCTTCCAGGTCCTAAGCAGCCAATATGGTCATTTGATTACAAAACTTCCTGGAGTTTAATTATTTCTTCTTTAAAGGATATTGGAAAAGGCATTTATTTTAAAAAAGGAAGGCTGTACGGCAAGGTCTGTCATCAAGGGCTTCAGTCTTGCAAGATGGAGAACACCTCCTGTGAGCTGATTACTACCCACAGCTCCCATTACCTTCCAGGACTAGAGCCTTTATTTCCAAAATTGGCATTGTGAGTACCCAGAGGCTGTCAGTTCTTTGGCTACCTCATACTTAAGGTCTCCTCCTGTTACTTAAGGCAATCTTAGTGTTTCCCACCAATGACATTTAAGATCTCCCTCCTATCTTAGGCAATTCTGCAGCTTCCTATCAATGTAGAAACAAAACACATGGCCCAAACAGCATGTTTCCTTGTTGAGCCAGGAAAGATGATTTCATCAGACAGTTTAAAAAGTTCACTCCACTGGGGAGAGCTACTTGAGCATTATGGAGCAATGAGTGGAAATTCATCATTTTATCCATCAGAGCATGAAACTATGGAGCACTCTGCTTAACATCTGCTAGAGAAAACTGCTGGAAATGCTACTAATGGGCAAGGTGGGGAGAACAGCTGGGAAAGCAGAAGAGCCAGTGTTGATTCTGGCATGAGAGGCAGAAGAGCATCCTTCATTAAAGAACTTGTGGCATCATCATCACCATTATCATCACCGTCATTATTGTTATCATTATTGAATTGGGATAGCAGCTGGGCTGCCAACAAAGTCCTGGGCTGCTTGTGTTATACACCCATATAAAACCCGACAATTTCTTCCCCACAATGCTCTACACTAACACTGATGAATCACTCTCCAGCAGACTTACTCTTTCGCCATCACTTATAAAATCATATCATACAAAAGTACGTCTGGAAGGGCCCTCAGGAGGTCATCTAGTGCAGCCCCCTGCTCAAGGCAGGATCGTCCCTGACTAAACCATCTCAGCCAGGTGTCTGTCTAACCTGCTCTTGAAAACTTCCAGGGATGGACATGCCACAATCTCTCTAGGTAACTTTTTCCAGTGCTGAATCACCCTCAGAGCGAGAAAGTGCCTCCAAATAGCCAACCTAAATTCCCTTTGCTGCAATTTAAGACCATTGCTCCTGAATCACCTGTGACCTGATTGATTTTAGTGAGTATTTTGGTGATTCTCAAACATTCATTAAGTGGCTGGGACAAAATATCTTCGGGTTCTTCCTAAACTGTTCCCTCTAACTCTTTGCTATTGATTATCAGGAGCTTGCAATTATCTATCTACAAAATTATCTATCTCCCCTTATTCCCAAAGAAGGGTGCTGGTGCCCAAAAGCTTATCAAGAACACTTTTTCTAATTATTCAGTTGGTCTAATAAAAAGTTACCACATTTACCCAAATAACCTTGTCTGCCAAATATATACGAGGCACCTAACTTCTATTGTGTGAGTTCTTCTCCCTGATTCAAGGAATGAAATGAGCTAAACGGGAAAATAATTTGTGGCACATAGCCATTAGCAAATGCTGAATAGAGACTGCATTTCATCGCAGCCCAAAGCCCCAGTCCTGCATGAGTGCATCAGGGAGGGATTTACAATGGCCACTCATCCTTATTTGTGTGTGAATCCTACATACTTTCTAAGGCCCAAAATGCTACTCTCCAGCACATAAATACATACCCCATGTACGACAGTAATGCAAGTTCTGTCCCATGGAAAAAAGCCAATATTTGGCAGTTGGGTGAAAAGTCAAAATATTTGAACTTAGATGGTCCTGATTGACTGCGGCACCTCAACACCAGGGGAGCGCCTGGTGCATTATCGGAAATTTAGTTTGACTAGGGACTAGGGCTCATAGGAAGCAGTGAAGCCTGTGAAACCTGGCCCTGAACCTCCCATGAAGCATTGTGGGTGGAGGGGTTGGTAAAGAAAAGAAACATTTTGATTTTTTTGAGGTAAAATCAAGCTTTTGTCCCAGAAAATATCAACCGTATTGTAATCTCATTTTCTCACATGAAAATACGACAGGCAGCCTTGCAATATGCTACAGATTTTCTACTGCTCCGAAATGAAAACCGCGCCATGTCCTACCGGCAGCAGGGAGATCCGTGGTACAATACGGCGGCCCTCGAACAATTACTTCTTGTAAGATGATGGAGAAACTATAAATGTCTCCTTTAAATGTGCCTGTTCGGATCATGTCTGGCGTTCTCAATAATTCAGGAGCTGTCCAAAGCAGTTCTGAAAAACAGAGTCGTTCAGAGGGATGACATTTCTGCACTGGGGTTCAGGTTGTTGCCACCTAAGCACATTCATGGGAAACCAAATTGCACAGGTATTGTGCTATTCAAGGTCATCGTCCCTTTGCATTGCGCCCCTTCTCTACAATGTTTCTCTAGTGAAGAGTCCTTAAGATGAGTCAAGTGCTCAGTTCAAATAATTATTTCCTACCTATGGGGACTTTTTACCATCTTGTACCATCTACACTTTTCCCAGAGTCTGATAAAGGGATTTTGATCCCGAAAGCTTGCAGAAAAGGACAATTTTCTTGCCATTTTCCAGTTGATCTAATAAAAGGTATCATTTTGGAACCAAGAGTTCTAGTTTTTTGTCTATCAGGTCAAATAACAGAGCCAGGTATCAGGCAAAGGCACCAGGTACAGCTTGAGGACCTGTATGCTCACGATTGAACCAGGTTACACCCCGAGCCTTCAAATCAATAAGCATGCACCTTATGTTTTTCGATAGAAGTAAAGTTAAGCATGAAATCTTTGCAGGATTGGCCTCCTTGATTTTGCAGTGTATTAAAAGTTGAGATTCCACCTTGGGAAATCTTGAATTATTTTTTTTAACTGTCCGCCAAGACCAGAAATCTAAATCTAAGATTTTTGTCACTGTAAACTGTTCCCCCCCCACCCAACTTCTTTGCTTAATGCCTTCCCAAACAAGAAATCTTGAATTATTATACCATTTTATTGAGACAGTGGCATGGACCTCGTGAAAGGTTATTCCTATTCAAAGGAAAACATTTCCCACAAGGACAGCCTATTCTGTTTACTTGGGATGAGGAATGCTTCAAACATGGCGGTCAATCTGACTTCTGCAAGGAATTGCCAGAGCTAGAATCCCATTGAAATATATGAGGGCCAAAGCTGACTCCAACTGAGGACAATGACAAACAGCCACAGACATCAGGAGAGCAGAATTTAAGAATAAGCTGGGCTTATGACTAGAAACTCAAGGCAGGAGCCAAGCTTGGATAAATAGGGCCAGACTAGCGATTTTGGTACAAAACGGTGATGCGCTTGAAATACGACTTTCAAGAGAGGTGCTAGTAACAGAAGGTTTCCACCGTCATGATCCCCATCCAGTTGAAAATCAAGCTCTGTTCAGTTTGGCATTGAAGCTAGATCCCAAACTACAAAGCTGAGATTGGGTCTATGGATTTGAATCCAAATCCGCTACACCACAGAAATTCGGGGTTATTTCGGATGTGAGGTTCCAGTTGGGGGACTCTTTAATTACGATGTGTTTAGCATCTGTCATTGCTTATAATGAAATCCCTTTCCACTATTAAGTAGTTTTGCAATCAGCTTTTAGTCCCCAAGAAGCCACTAGAATTAGTGAGTATATATGCTATTTTAATAGTATATAATACATGGGTAACAGATGTTTCATAACTGAACAGTTCCTCATGCCGTCATCAACCTGCAATTTTAGGAAGACCCACAACTGGTTCTGTGAAATCAATGGGCATTTATTTCTAGCCAGTCTGTCCTTGCAATGCCTACCTTCCGGCGATCGCTCAGCACGTGGACATTTTTGTGCTTCTAAGAGCTCATTATATCCGTAATCAGTGATCTTCAGGACAAACCGCCCGTCCACCACGCAGTTACGAGACTTGAGACGCCCATGAGGAAAATCCCGGTGATGTAAATACTTAATTCCCTGTTAAATATATAATAATAACGCTTTTAAAAAAAAATACTAGTGATTATTTTGAGACACCAGATCACGTTTTGCTCTAACTAGTGCCAAACTTTGTGTCTTGGGCCCCTCTCTATTTGTCAACAGCAAAAGGCCATTCAACAGGACTGATGCTTTCCTGAGAAGTCACAGTCCTCCTCTGCAAACTTCTGGCTTGTTTCTATTCTATATATAATTACATCCTCCATAGGGCTTTCCTAGCATAGGCAGGCTTGAGTGTGAGCAGGGGATTTACTTTAATTAAATCCATCAGAAGAGATGATTTGAACATCCAATCCAGTTTCACATCCTCATTTCTCAGGAGGTCTTCCAGGCTGCCTCTGGAACAGTGCTCCGTCACTATGGCAAAGAGGCCGCAGTCGGAGAAAAAGCCCATGAATGGATTCACGTTTTCATGACGTAGGTCTTTCATCTAAAATGAGAACATGAATCACAGGAGAAAAAGTTAGCCAGACATCTCAGCGGCTGTTGGTGTGGTGATAGTCTAACCTATTGCAATGGACTCCCCCATAGGCCGCAAACCTAAGAACTGCAGTTGTCTCTCAATTTGAATTGGCAAGGACCAATTGCCCTCCTTGAGTTGGCAAGGACCAACTCTTTAAATGTACTTTTCCACCACTCTGCATTATATTAGCTCCTCTATATATTATTGTGCTTGTATACTAGTCAGCCAGCTAGAAGATAAAACTGCTGGAGGAAGGTCAACAGAAAATTGTATTTCTTTGGATGGGTTGGGCCAGATTCTCAGCTGGGATGAAGTGGTGTTGCTGGGATAAATTGACTTCAGCCGATGTTGATTGACCCTAGCTGAAGGTCTGTTAGTTTTGCAGGATCATGCTGCCATATCATGCTGCCGTGCCATTGCCTTGATTATTTAGACTGTCCCCAGAATGATGGCTATGGAGGAATGCTCTGGCAAACCCTTCTTATGCAGCAAAACTTCCCTGTGTTAGCAATAGCAGACGGCAGGCCAGTGACCTTGAATCTGAATAATTAATGTGTGTGGTTGTCACATATTGAATGTCACAAGGAGACTTTTGACAGGCAAATGAGTTGGAAATACAAAGCAAGCCCTGGAGAAATCTATGGCCTTGTTATTGTCACAGTGGTTGCCCGACAACAAATAAGGCATGAAAATAGCCACTAGGTGCATTATCTTTGGCTGATCCCTGAGCCATCAGGGAGGACTTGTTCCAAAATAATGTGCCTTCGAAGACACAGTCACACAGGAGACTCATTTTGCATTCAATGCCCCATCAGCCTGGAAGCATCAGGCCCATGGTGGGATTTAGCAAGCCAATGAATGAAGCACGGGTTGTTGGCAGGCTTGCCGGCTTCAATTCTGTGCATGCCACTTCACAGGGTTCTCACCCAATGGGCATCATTAACAACTATGATGCACAACTCAAGGCATAAATGCAAGTTATAGAGCATCCAAATTCCTTACAGTCTACAAGGTATGGCTGCAACTGCCCACTATGTCCCCATTCAGCCACTGCTCCTACCTTTCGCAGTATGCTGGTGGAGCTTTGTCGCAGGTCTTGAAATGCTCCCGACTCAAATTTCTTCAGCCACACCCAGTCTCCCTGTCCACAATACAAGTGGGTCAATGAGAAATCAAACCCTTTGGCAAAAGTTAAAACTAGAAAGGGAGGCCTGTACCCAAACTTTGAAGTTCAGGTTGGCTGCAAACTCCATGACTCTGGACTGTCCCTATCCAGAATCTGACCCAGAACACGAGATGCAAGGCCTCTTGGGACTGGGTGAGGTAGGGTCTGGACTTTGATTGGAACTTCATTAGCACTTAATGAGGAGCCCAAGCATGAGTATTACATCCTGTGGGTTCCCACCAGAGTCCCGCTGTGGCTTTCGTGGCCTACTTTTTTTTTTATGAGCTCTCCCTTTTCTTGGATTCATTGCACCATTTTTTTTGTAGAAGCATCTACTTCTTCTAGGTGTTGTCTTCACTCATACTCCATGCAACCTCAATTACTCTTTGACCTTTGCAATCATGTACACCATATTAAAGGGTGCTTCTCTGTGGTGACCAGTAGCTGGTGACAGGTAGCCATCTGAGATAGTGAACCTGGATATAACAGCTGTCACCATAGGTAATTAGCAGAGCTGGGACCCAAGGCCTTTCTCGTGACAACACAGGGCTTCTACCACTTATAAGAAGCAAGTTGCTCCATTAGCTGGTAGAAGCTGAAGGGAAGCTCTCTATCCCCAAACTGGGACAAAGAGAGCTTGCTTGGTTGAATGGGATCCTGGAATAAAGAGGTTGTCTCTTCCCAAGAGAAGCACTTCATTGGAAAGCTAAATGTAAGTTAACTAGTATTAGATTAAGCAATAGAAATGCAAAAACATACTCACACCTGGGAAGATGGTGTAAGCTGGACCCCAGGATCTCTGAGCCCTTGTTAGTTGTTCAGTTCCCCCAACAACCTGGATTGATTACTCCCCCACAGCTCAAGCCCATTGTTCCCCTCATCCCCCCTCCCCAGGATTACAATCATAGATGTACAAGCATTAATGACATTCATCAATCATTAATGGCATGTTAAAATTTAATTTGGTATATGGTAATAAAAGGGGTAATCATGAAGGCTCCCCACCTCCAGCTAAGTGGAGAATTTATGATCAATTTAACGAGGATGCTCTTTCAGAGATTATTAGTTAGGACTCTTGAAAACAAGTGCTGTTCTTGATGGGAATGGGTTTCAACTACTTTGTGTTACTATGGCTAGACACTTACTCAGTGCTTTCCTGTTTGAATTAGCAAATAACATGGAATCTGGCCTTGCAAATCTTCATACAAGGTTACCCAGAGTTTTTTTTTATCATTTTAAGATACACAAAGAACATAAGAACTGCCATTCACTGGGTCAGATCATACATCCATCTTGTCCAGTACCCTGTGTCACAGTGACCTGGGTCTGACCAGGGTTTTTTCCACTGTTGCTCTCTCACTTTGGGTGCCCGTACACGTGCAGAGAGGCTGCTCCGACATAAGTACAGTGCATTGGAGCAGACTCAATTAACTGAGTCTGCTGGAGCATGCTAATTAGTGCACTCCAGCAGCCTCTGCATCTTGTCTATCAGCATCCCTGCACTTCAAAATGACAGCAGAGGTGCTTTAACTAAAGCTCGTTTGATGAGCTCATCAAACGAGCTTTAGTTAAAGTGCCCCTGCCACCGTTTTGAAGTGAAGTGATGCTGATACACGAGACATTGTGAGTGCTTTAATTAGAGTGGCATTCGGAGCTGCTCTAATTAAAGAGTCCCCTCCCCTGCAACCCAGAGCATGTGTAAAAATACGTTTGAAGCGTCCAGCATTTAACGTCTAGGAACTTCTGATTCAGAAGCTGCGCCCCTAACTCCCTGCTCAATAGCTATTGATGCCCCTTTCCTCCAAGAATGTGTTCAACCTCTTTTTTTTAATCCGGCTAAATTGTCAGCTTCCACAATATTTTGTGGCAATGAGGTCCACACTTAAAGGACGCACCTTTTGTCAGTTTGAACATTTACAGCCACCTCTTATTTTCATATAATGGAGGATGTATATAAGATGGAGGCACTTCTGGCAAGGTCGCTAATCACTGGCGATGCGTAGGGGGTGCACGTGTACCCCCTGAGCTTAGCGGTGCACCCCCTGCAAAAAACACCACCCACGTCGCCGGTGGTGTCTGCAGGCGGTCCCTGATCGCTGCTGGCCACTGCCGATGTTGCCAGCGGTGTCTGCAAGTGGTCGCCGACCACTAGTTGGCACTTGCCCCCCCCACGGCTCCACCCCCGACACCGCCGTGGCCACCCGCGGGAGCTCCCCGCTCGCCACTGCCACCTGCAGGCGGTCGCTGTGCCCCCCCAGCCTCCAAGGGCATGCAGCGTTCATGCCTCTAATGCGTTCCTTACAGCCATAGTAGGCTCTTTTCCTCTCTATAAACTAACCACTAAATGACGGTTTACAAAAGGGCTACGTGGGCCCATGATTACCTCAAACAAAGCCACATTGGAGTTTTCATGTGTTGCCTCTATGCTTTCCGGAGACGAGGAGCGAGCCGGTACAGATTTCAGGCTTCGGCCATCGGAAAGTGTCTTTGCGTCACTCAAGCTACTCAAGGTCAGCCTCTGTCGAATTAATTAAACTGAATATTAAAAAAGGAGCTCCTGTGTACCTAACCTGCCACTCAGATTCAGCTCTAGGCTAACAGAAATGTGACACGCTTCACACATTTCAGAAATGCTTTCTATACCGCACAATCTTGTTATTGCACATCGGGTAATGCAGTCAATCTCTCCACGACTTGCAAGCCTAGGAAATACCCAGTTATTTGAAATAATATGCCGGTCCCTGCCCTTTGTCTCATGGAAATGTCACAGATCAGGAGTCCCCCCACTAAAAAAAGAGTTATCCTTCTGTCTGGACACAGAGCAGGAATTCAGCTCCTGTAGGTTTGAGGAGGGTCAGTTTGCACCTGATAAAGAGTTGACCCTGGAAGAGCAGCTAAAAAATACTCAGCTACCACAGGGAACAACTGTATATAGTGGGGAAAGGGAGGCTCAGAGAGGTTTTTGGCTCTGCCAGGGATGCGCACTGAGTGTGAAGACAGTGTGTAGCAGCCCTGTTCTTAGCATGCGGCTCTCCCCAGCAGATTGCATATACAAAGTGAATGTAAAAACATACCTTCTTGCTCAGGTTAGGGTTTATAAATGTGAGGTCGTCCAATGTCAGTAAGATTTTATTAGGCCCCTTGACTAACTGGATCTTTATGAGGGTGTTCCTGAAAGAGTCAGAAGGTCAGCGTTATCATTTGTAGGCATGGGACTGGATCATGACCGAGAGAAATCGCACTTACACTGCCTCCCTTTTGTGCTAACGTGGTGCAACACATGAGGATGAGGAGGACATGACACAGTGAGAGCAAAAGACATGACTTCTGTGCCTTGGCTTATATTAACATCCTTTGCAGCAACACAGTGTTTTCTGTCCCAGGATATACATTGCTCTACAAACAGTGATGGATTGAACCTCAGAGAGAGTCATTGAAATGGAGCCACGGATTCATACAGAAGTTAATCCAGGCATAAAGGTGAAGTGTACAGCTTGGATCATGTTTGGCTTATTTGTTTTTTTCAGTTCCACATTTACTCGGCGTCCTACAAATTCCATTGAAGTATGAATTGAAGTGGCCCATAGGGAGGTCGCCTTTAACCAACTGTGCAAGTGGGAAAGACTTATTGGTCAAGGTACTGGGAATCTGCATCTTGCCAAAGAGCATCCATTATGGCAGGTCATCACATTGAAATGCTATGATATTCTTATATACTGTCTTAGTGAGCTGCCAACAGGTGCCTCCTGCAAGATGGCTTTGGACACTTTGATAGCCTGCAAGGTTTATAGAGTCATTGAAAAGTAGGGCTGGAAGGGACCTCAGGAGGTCATCTATAAGCTAACCCCATGCTCAAGGCAGGATCATCCCTGAGTAAACCATCCTAGACAAGTGTCTGTATAAGCTATTACTAAAAACTCCAGGAACAACCCACATTCACAACTACTAAAACATCAAAATACCCTTTAACTTGCCACAGGTGAAGCAAGGGGATGAGGGCACTATCAATGCCCTGTCACTGCAAGGACAGGAAAGAGTTCATTAAAATATGCTCAAGAGATCCAAGGTAGAGGGCCATGTCCCCTGCTACAAAGGAAGGTAGTAAACCTCACAGTCTGGACCAGTCTGACCAGATCCTAAAATTGCTTCTTGACTCCAGTTGTGGCTTGACCCTGAGCAGAAGAGCAAGACCGCTGGGCTTTTTAAGTCCCAGAAAAAGCATCATCCCACCCCCATCAAAATCCCCAGCCCTGGTGTGGCCAACACCCCACACAGTTTTGCAGGATTGCCTTGTGGGACCTGGAAAATTTAGGGCACAGATCAGCCCACTGATGGTGGATCAGCCTGGTGCCTGGATTTGATTGCCAAAGCAGCCTCTTTTGTACTAGAGGCACAGCACAAGCCATAACGAGGCAGGTTGAACTCAGCAAGCACCCAAAATATGCTTGGCTAACTGGCTACTTAAATGAGGCCCAGCAGTCTTCCAGGCATCCCACAATGCAGTGTTCCCTGCCTGCAGGGGGAAGAACAGGGCAGTGTGTCAGTGAGCACTCTCCAGTGTGCTCCACCATTGCTTTCCCAGAGTGCCTTTCTGTTGGGACTGGGAGATCTCACACCCCATTGCCAGAAGTGGGAGACCCAAAGTGCTGGGAGCCTATGGGGGGCTAATAGCACTAAGGGTTTGGGGAGCCTGCGAGACCCCAGCGACAGCTTCAGGGTCAAAAGCTCATGGGGTGTCCATAGCAGGCCGGGTGCTGGAAGTACTCACTGACTGCTCTGTGCCCCCTTTCCCTGCCTGTTGTGGGGAACAAGGGGGAGAGGCACAGGCCCACACAACCTCCATCATGCTGCCTGGCTAGAAAGCACTACCGCTGCATGCCAGTACTGTGATTTTGAAGTGCTATGGTGTGTGTGGGGGGGACATGACAGGGGCCATATGTCTGTCTGCAGCTGAAATGCTTTGTTGTAAAACAATTCAAGCTCCATTGCATTTTGAAGTGTTTCAGATGCTACATCTGCTCCCACCCCTAGCACATTCATATCATAATCACAGTAAAGAACATTGGTTGGCATCCTTCTCTGGGCAACTGAGCTGTCAAAAAAACAGGAGCAGACACTCCTACGTCTACGTAACTTATACAATACTGGGGTACCCAGGAAAACTCAACAGTAAAAATGCACCAGGATTTGTTACACCAGTGTAAGTGCTGTGTGTGTGTAGTTATTCCAGATCAAGCATTTGTTCACTCGTACATTCCCTTTTCACCTAGGTGGCCTATACACGTGCTTGTTGGTGTCCTAACTAGAATGTGTTGGAGCAGACTTGATTAATCGAGTTTGCTCTGCATACAAATTCGAACGCTGCAGCATCACCACAGCCATAGGTGACTGGTAGGGGGTGCATGGGGGTGCACGTGCCCCCCCGACGGGGCCGGTGGGGCCCCCGCCCCCCCCAACAGCTGACACTGTTGCTGTCTGTAGGGCTGGTGCCCCCCCTGACAGTTCCGCCAGTGGCAGCTTCTACAGGTGCCCCCCCCAGATTCGGGAGGCCGGCCCAGTCACTCATGACCACAGCATCATGTGTATTAAGCCCTTGCATATTTAAAAATGGCCATGGGGCACTTTAACTAAACCTCATCGAATAACGTTTAGATAAAGTGTTCTGCAGCCATATTTAAACATGTGAGAGCTTAATGCACATGATGCTGCAGTGTTTTAATTAGAGGGCTGCCTGGGAACCACTCTAATTAAAATGCTCCCCTCCCACCTCTGGGCATGTGTATAGGCAACCCTAGTGTCAGGGTACTGTTACAGCACCTCATGGGACAGCTGCCCTGACATAGCTGTCTGTTTTAGCTCCTAGTAGTGTCAGAGTGATGCTGTAGTCGTGATGGCCCAGAAATGGTGTGAGAGACAAGGATTTCTTACGGTGCTATCTTTTATTGGACCAACTATGTCGTTGAGATAAAGTTAGACCAGCTTCTGAATGCAAGACATTGAATGTGAGACCTGAAAAAAAATATCTTGCATTCGAAAGCCTCTCTAACTTTAGTCCCAATGACATAGTTGATCCAGTAAAAGATATCATCCTAAGACAGCCTTGCTTCTTGATAGATCCTAATGTAATTTATATTGATGTATAAAACCAATGCAAAGACATTGATATGGATCCTGCATGTCCAGGTCCTGGGGGAACTGAGGTCCAGGTTAGTGATTCACGTTCCTATTGATTTAATCTGAGTCAAGCTCAGACACTTGGTAAAAAAAGCATGTGATTTGGCAATGGGCATTCGGCTTGCTAGCGAAAGTACTTCCTGACAGGCCCTTTCGGAGAAGAACATACAAACAGCTTGGCAGGTATTTTCTGGACTGATGTAAAAAGAACCTGCCAGTGCCCTGTCTGTGCTTCTGGGAACTGCTGAGTATCTGGGGAGAGTCAAGCTCCGATAACATTTCCCAGCTGGTTCCAGTTCAATCCAAGAGCCAGCAAATCGAATCACTCAAATGAATGGAGCTGACTCCACTTGACACCATGGTTGATCTTGGCACTGACTTTCTGTGGAGTTTCCCTGTCCCATCAGCTGCTCTGGATTCAGAGGGAGGTGGAAATCAGGCTAAGGAAATCTAAGACTGCAACTTCCACTTACTACTACTTCATGCTCCTTTAAGACTTGCTCCGAGTTGTGCCATTTTACCAACATGCAGTTTGCATCCACTTTTTATATATCGCTTCTGGCTTTGCCCCCTGAGCTCTATGAAGTGACTGGATTGTAAAGCATCTTCTGTAGAGCTAGAAGAGCGGGGCATGGCAAGAACAGAAATGAAAAGGCATTTTTAAGAGTTACGTATGAATGCTTAGACCGCCACGTATTTTCGTCTGACACCCACGTATGCAAGGAAGTCTTTGTTCTTCACATACATGTTCCATTGGGGTATCAGTTAAGCTAAGGATGTGTGGGCTACACCGACTGAGCTGTCGCCACTGACCTCCGTGGGGCTCAGCTGGTTCCCACGACCTGGGGAGCCAGCCCTCTGAGGACTTAGACATGTGACATGTTTACTCTGGTATAACCTGCCTTTACACCTGTGTAAAGACTAAGTGGACACATAAGGCTAAATCCTCTTTCACCTTTGTGCACCTTAGTGGCACTTTTGTAGCCGTGTCAGTGCTATTTTTGGCATTTGCTGGTAGTTGGAGTCTATTTCTACCCCTGGTAGAAGAGGATCATCCAGGCCCCTGCTGGAAGGAGGGGATGAGAAGAGCCCTCCCACCTTTTCCCAGAGGATAGTAGACCACACACTTTCCTGCCTTGAGCAGGGGGCTTTTCTGCACTTTGTATTCAATATTCAATAGATTGAATGAGTAATATTCATTGGACTGGATCAACAGCAGTGGGGTCAGAGGCCAGGGTCAGGATCCAGCTCCCTTCCCCTCCAGGGCAGCATCAAAGATAAAGAAAAGATACCCTGGAGATCTTTAAAAAAATGTCTTCACACACGTCTTGCTGGGGTCATCTGACCCTAGCAGTTTTTCCTGCCCAAGTGCAGGGGGGCTGCACCCGATAATCTCATGAGGTCCCTACCAACCCCTAACATCTATGAATCAGTCCATACGCTCTCTCACACCACAGGTTGAGTCTTTGTGTTCATATACTCCCTTCCTTCATGTCAGATCATCATCTTCTGCAGACTGTTGACTTCGGGGTTGAAAGTTCATCGTGACTCATAAGTGGACTTACAAAAGCAAGGTCTGGTACCTCTGAGAGCAGCCTCCGCTAGAAGCAGTCAGCGAGCCTTGCTCTTATTTATACAGCTTAGTGGCTTGGAGACAGAGAGAGAGAGAGCAGGGTTTTTTTTAGTCAGGAAGGATTAAGACAAAGTCCTTGGATCCTGCAGCTGGAAGGGGTCCAGAGGCAGCAGTGTGCTAGGGCAGAGGAGCAGGTTAGGATGCTCCTCAATGCCAGGCACCCTAGGTTGGTGTGGGCAGCATGGGCTATTGCACTTGGGAGAAAGATCAAAAGTTCAAGAGATGCTTCTAATTGGGGGTCAAGGGCTGGCCTGAATTGGGAGGAAGAATCCATCCAGCATACCTTGAATATTTGGCTCCAGGCCTCAGTGATTGGTATTTATCCATCGCCATTTATTAGCTATGGTTGGAAAGGAGAACAAGCCCTTTACGGCGTCATGGCTGTGTCTGTGGTGATCAGCACTCTAGCGCCTGACCCTACGCGTACCCTGGCGCTGGTTTGCTGAGGCTGACCACGCGTTCCTCCCACGGGGCCTGGGGCATCAAGTACCAACAGCTATCACAGCAGGAGCCCCTCCCACCCCTTCTTCACTTAAATGATTTGGAGGTGGAAGTCCTGCTGTTGACGCCTCCATCCATCTTTCATGCGCTCCTTGTTACCTTTTTAGTTATAGTCATTGATAAAAATAACAGAGCTAGCTGGAAGCACAGAGAGCTGGGAAAATGGACTGGATTGAAGTAGACCCATAGCCACTGAAGGCCCCTATTCAGAGACATTAGCACCCTGGACATTAGCACATCTGCACCCTGGACTGGAGCAGCAGCAAGGCCAGGCTGGCAGGGGGGAGCAGCTGCCTTTTCCACCCCCTCCTCTCAGTGGGTGCCCTGGTTACCCACAACGTGGCATGCTGCTACCCCTAGTTCTTCCCCCATTGAAATCAATGGCAAGGCTCCTATTGAAGTCAGCAATCCAGGATAAGCCCTTAAAGGCACATACAGTGGCTGCCATGAAAATGGTTGTATTTCTTGGTCTTTGAAAGGAACACAGATGGAGCTCAAGGGGCAGGGTTCAGCCCTAGTTACCAGAATAGGGGACGTGAAAATTACTGTACGGTAGCAGACCAGTGCTCCTTTAGAAACCCTGAGAATACCAGTAGCTGATGCTTCAGGGAAGAAACCCAGTACAGAACAATTTGGAATAAGCAGAATAGCAAGATCCTACAGTCAGCACCACGCCGTTTCCAGTCTCCTCTACCTGAACAGGAGCAACAACTGCATACTTAGCACTTCCGCAGAGCTAGTCACCTTCTGGGTGCTTTAGAGTCATCAGCCAATTAATCCGCACAAAATCCCTGTGGGTGGATCGGTCACAGCCTAGCTATTGTACAAAACCCGGAGTGGATTAGTGCAACTCTGGGTCCTACGCAGGATGTTACACAATCCATGTAGCGCCATGTTGCTCATGGAGCTGCGTGCAGCTGACAGTATTTGATCTGCACTGTATACATGGAGAGGTCTGGGGCAGCTGGAGAGCAGAAGCGGAGCGGTGGGGAACGTAATAGCGATCTGGACCATTGCAGGAAGCTTCTGAGTGGCCTCAGAGGGCTACTGATGAAACTCTACCCCGAAACAGGAGAGAAGGGCAAACAAGCAAGCATGCAATCAAAAATATTACGGCAGTGATCACCTGATGAGATGAGCAAGACCTGCACCACACAGCACCAGGATAAATATCAGTACCAGTCCCAGCATCACCATCATAGGTTCAATACCTACGTGGAAGGGAGAAAACAGATCAGAAAGTGTGTCGATTTTAGGAGATAGGCAATGACGTGACCCCTGCCCCCATGCTAGTGTTACAAAGCCGAGCACCCAAAAATGAGGGGCTGCCTTTTGGTGCTAATTTGGCCTTCTTGCATGCATTAGGACAGGCTTGTCCAACTGGCAGCCTTCAGGCCACATGCAGCCTCTGAGGACTTAACTCACAGCCCATGGGACCACTCCCAAGATCACTCCTGCTGCTGCTGGCACTAGTTTCTCTGGGCTCCCACTACCTCCTTCAGCTACTGCTTCCTACCCCTGCCCTTAGAGGTGAGGCACAGCATCCCTGGGACCTCGGGGAGCCCTTGGATGTGCAGCCTCTGGCCACGCACAAGAGGGACAACCCTGAATAAGGACACGCCCTGGAAATACATCACCACATCCTGCTTTTGTCACTGGACCCCTACTTCATTCAATGCACTGGATGTGTGCAAAAAAGTGTGTGAGCGCATGGCTAAAGGCAAGATCATAATGTAGATGGACGAGGGGACAGAATGAGGGCTGCACCGTCAGTTTTTATTCTCTCACTTGGAGCGCTTGGCTTTACAACCATTTCCTGATGCAGCTTTTAATCCCTTTCCTAAGCTTTTATGAAGAAAAAAAAATCCTAGAAACTGCAATGCAAAATTTTAGCTCATGGACTCCCACTGACTGCCACATTGGTCATCAGAAGGTCTGGGACCTCTAGATCCATAGTGCTACTTGGTGAGCAAAACAACGGAGTAACTGGCAGCAGTAGAAGGCTGTTATCTTCCATGCATACCTCTCAGTAGAAAAGATGGAGCTCCATACGTTGCCAGGATGTTTCACAGCTATGTGCCAGATGGCAAATGAAGGGTGAGACTAGGGACTAGTGTGTTTAGCTCTGGTGTCTGTTGTGTCCTCCTTCTGCCTTACCTTCCCTAATCAGCTCCTGGCTCCCCTCTGCCATTACCCCTTCCTAGCCTCTGCCCATCAGCCCCTGTCACTGCCCACCTCCTTCTTCTTCTGTCCTTTCTCCATTTCTTATGTTCTCCCACTGTGTTGCTATCCTCATCTTCTCCTACACTCCTACACTTCCCAATGAACTCCTCTCCCTTTTCTCCTGCTCTGGTCCTGCTTTATCCCAGGTACTTGTCTTCTCTCTCCCCCAAATTTCCCCTCTAGTCCCTCACCATTTACGATCCATATACAGCACAAGATTTTTTTGGAGGTTTTACAACTTAGTGTACTTAAGTAAACCTGGGATACCAAAAGGCCAGCCCCACCAGCTGACACTAGGCCAACCCCACTGCCAGATTCAGAGTCCCTGCTCCAAAACATGAACTCCTACAATGTTGTTGTGAAGAGCTGCAAGATTTTTTTTTTTTAACACAGGGTAGACAGTCCATTCGCCCTGACCTTGACACTGGAACATTTACATTGAACTTAAATTTCAAAATAGGTCATCCGGAGGCATATTTATGGCCCAGTAATAGGTCGCAGATATAATGGGAAATGTTGGGCAGCGTAATGCGGACGGTGCTATTTCACCTGTTGCTACTAAACAGACTTAGGGGGTTGTTCTCATTCATATGTGTCTTCTCTATATTTAGGCCACTGAGAATTGCACGCTGCTAGCAATCCTTCATTGGTACGGGGCAACCTCTACAACAAGAGTGTTTTGGCCCTTCAAGAGAAGATGGTGGCAGCCTGGGGCTTAGCCCTTCAAGGCAAAGGATTTTGGGAGATGTAGCCCCCAAGACAGACTGGTGGGAGGTGTTGGTCTAGGGCATGCGACAGCGGGATCATGTGGTTAGGACTACATAAAGGGAGGCATTGGGGCAGTTGCATGGAGCTGTGGGAGGCAGGAGGTAGAGAGTTGAAATGGGAGAAGACCAAGGCCTTGGGCAGGATGGTGCTGGTTGGGACTGAGCCTTGTCTAGAGGTTTCAAGTCTGGGCCGCTCCACGAGAGCTGGAGGGGAGTAAGGCAGACACGGTGAGGGTAAAGGACTATTGCAGTGAGAATACCAGACTGGCTTGAAGTCACGAAGGTAAGGCTGGGGGTGGGTGAAGGAACTGGTTTAGCTTTGGCCTGGGAGGAGAAGAGACTTCTCCAGGTAGAGGCTTCTCCCTCCATGTCTTATCACTACCTCTGGCACTAGATTATAACCAGCTCCCTTTGAGATGGTGCTATCACTGAGGAGCTCCCATGAGATGTCATGATGTGTCTGCCTGTGCGCTCTTGTAGCAATACAAAGGAACTTAATTGCTAGGGCTTTAACCCTGAAAGAAACAACATTCAAATTCAACTGCTTTGCCATGCTCCTATTGCTATAGGAGGAAGCAGGTCTAACTACTTATACTGGCATCATTTGATACTCATATACCTGCTATGTCTATCTATCCCCTTACTGCATAAGCTTGCATCAGCTAATCTGGTGCCTCTATTCCTGACAGGCTTTAAACGAACCTGAACTATGGTGACATAACTCTGTTTGTTCCAGGAATAAGATGCCCTGGTTTAAAATGCATTTGCCATGGAAGAGGAGCAGACAAACAACATCGTTACAGCGGATTGAGCCGATCTTCAATAAGTTTCCCTTTCTTCCCTCTGTCTTCTGTATGTCCATACCTTCTGGCATATGAGCCTGCCTGAAGCCCTATTATGTATCCCCGGTATGAGGAATATTATTTCTGTGTATCTAGACTGCTTTAGATAACAAGCTACACTTGCTGTGGTGGGTTCAGGCAGAAGATAGACTTGGACGTAGAGTTGTCCCACTTTAGCTAATAGTTATAGTAAATGAATTTAATTAATTGGTGCTCTCTCTTCTGTGTGGAGTCTCCTACTTAGATCTGATTTCAGCACTTTTTAAAGATCCATTTTCAATTGATTGCTTGCTGATGTTAAGCCAGGTCCTGGAAGCATCCCCTTAGCTCAAAATGATATAGCTCATCCTGAGCAGGGTCTTTATTTTGTGTAGCAGTTGCTCAGTTTTGTGGTCATATATATAGAAGAGACCCAGGGTTTGCTTTCCATGCCTCAATGAGGCCGTCATACTCTTCTAAAAAACAGCCAGACCGAAGTCAGCTTCTGCATGTCTAGCATCACCACCAAGACCTGACTTCGTCATACTAGCTGGAGGCTGTTGCCTGTGCTGTGCCAGAGAGAGAGGGTGCTGGTGTTGTAAAATGGAAAAACCTTTACCAGTGGTCACATTAAAAAATCACCTGAAGGGAAGCTTAAAGCTTAGGGGTTGGACTGCTCTCTGTCACTGGGAATAAATGGGATGTGGATTCCCAATTGCATGCTCAATTGGGAATCCCAGACCCGATGTCTACCTCTCTGCATAGGCACTGCCTGGAAGCAAAGCACTATGCTATAGCACTGCATGCTTGCTGCACCTCTCTGCTAGGGTGAACAGAAAGCATTGATTCACACCGGATGGTTAGCACTTAGCAGGAAAGTTCATTTTGTGTAGGACTCTCAAAACAACAGAAGCCAAAACTCATGACATCCTTTGGAGTATCCTCCCCCATTTTCCTGATTTGCTGAATGGCAACATCAGTAAGCCTGTCTGTCTCAAGTACCACTGCAAGATAATGCCGAAACCAGAAATAGGACCCAGGAGCCTTGATCTCTCTTCTCCACTAGCCCAACCACTTGACAAAGACTATCTTGAGCTAAAACCACACGTCCAACCCTCTCAGACCAGGGGCCAGGCTGTGACCTGGATTGGATACCACCAGTAAAAGTGAATCTTAGAAATAAAGACTAACCACTATTGACAAATGTTTGAAGCTTTATATTTCTGAGTAGGTATTAAGCACTAATTCTGATTCTTCTGTGAAACCGATGGTTGTAAGTGCAGCAGGACTGGCCCCTAAGTATAATTACAGAAATTGTCAGCATAACTCTGAAAGGTGGGATTATGATTTCTACCTAATGGATAAAGGCCAGGCCTATAGTTGTAAATCAATGTAGCTCTGACCCCAGTAGGACTAGACTGCTATATACCCGCTATTGGCCTGGCCAGGAAAAATAGGCATAACTCTGTGTTGCCACTAAATACCTTAACTGTGGCCTAGGAGTTATCCTCTCCTAGGGCTTTGGCCTTCAGCTGCAACTCTCTTATTGCACCCTTATTACCGCAGTGCAAAGGCAAAAAGGCAAGATTGGTACCAAATCTCCAACATATCCAGCCAAGCTTCAATGACTGCTGTTGTGCAGAGCCTTTGCTTGCCACTTCTGTAACCAGCTACACCTCAAATAATTTTCAGTGATTATTTTTTCTTGCTGAGATAAGCTCCAGTGATCCTTACAGCCTGCTAATTAGCTATGTGGAGAAGCTGCTGCTAATAGGGACAGCCAACTGATTTGGGCCTTTAATCCTTTTGGTGCACAAAACAGTTATTGCCATTTAGGCCACAGTGTAAACTCTGCATGCGCTAATACATGCACTTATTCCATTTTCAGTGAGGGATAAGCTTCCCTTAATTTACCATGGGGTACTATCACATGCAGAGGCAGGTACTACGGAGTAGCTGATGCTGTGGAAATTCACACCTTAGCTTACTTTGCAGTCACCGATTCACCTGCCGACTTCCTAGCTGCATATTCACTTCTGCCTGAGTACATAGCAGTTGAGGAACCATGCTGCTAGGTACTCTACAAAGACACAGGAGAAGTCATCCTTGCCACTCACTGACCACAGTAGACAACACAGCTGATAATCAGTGACAATAAATGCATAGCAGCAATGATTCTAAAACTATTTTGTATTCCTGTTTGCCACTGGGCATGGGCTTTATCCTATAGAAACTCCCATAACACGTGGGGTAAGGGGGAAATATGCAATGCACAAACAGAGAAATGACTGCTACTTTCTAGTCTTTCCTGCTTTTCTGCGAGGTAGATGGGACTCTTCAAAATTGTATGGGGCTTAGGTGGAGTGGAGGGAGACAGGAGTTATTGTGCTATTAGGGGAAAGGACAGAGCAAGTGGAGGGCTGAAAATGGAGACCAAGGTTAGTGATGAAGAATGCAGCTGGGGGTGGGAGGAAGCCAGAAAAGAGCCAAGCTGGCAAGAGAAGGTAACATTTAAAACTGGAACTTGTGCAGTCACAGTCTGATGGGGGCACTTGAGATGGGCCTTGCTCAATGGTCTAGGTCCAGATATCCTGGACTTTCAGGCCATTTGACTTGGTACATGGTGGACTAAGCCAAACTCTTGGGTCAGAACAAGTTTCCAGTTCGGGGAGGGTTCAGATCCTGGTCTTGGGTGCCTGCAGATTTGACCCACCTCTGCATAAACCCAGTATTTCATATCTTACCTCCACTGCATACGCCGGTCTGATCAAACCAGCAGCCAGAGTCTGGTCTTGGTGGGGATCCTCCAGGGAAGTGTATCGGTCGGCCTAGGAACTGCACCGATTTAGCAGACATGTCCACCAAGTAGGTTGGAAATAGCTGGTTCCCTTGGCCCACTGTGTCCAATACCATATAGTTGTTCAGGCCCTGCCCTCCGCTGTCTGTGCATATCCTCTGGCTGAATCCAGGGAAGTCCAGGTTTTTGATATTTTCTGACAGCATTGGTCCTGAAACTGGGTCCCTTTCCTTTTGGGCATTCTCAAGAGCCTTGGCCATGAAGTAGATGGCATCGTAGATTGTTCCAAACAGTGGAGAGACCTGAAAACACAGTAGAAATTAAGTTAATGCTACACTGACACCAGTATCGAAGCACTCCCCCGCTATTCATCTAATTTAAAGCTCACAGTCAACAGGGCACTGGTCTATGACTAAGGAGACGGGTTCGATTTCCTGCTTTGCCACCTGGGTGATTGTAGGGGTGTCTTCCTTTCCCTTGCCCATGCACTTCTCCAGGCAGTTTCACTGGGCACCATCCAAAGGCTAAGATACATTCAAGGGACAGCGAGTAGCTGGATTTCTTTGCTAGGTGTCCTCCCTTGGAAGCCTAGTTATTGACCTGTAACCTGCACTCCTGTTCCTGTTTCCTCATGATTTGTCCCACAGAAGTAACGGTTGTACATTTGGTGACTACTCTCAAGTCACTGCAGTGAGGCTTGCAGCTCCTGGGGGGCCTAGGCCTGCCATCAGCATATAACGATTAGATTTTGCTACACACTTTCTGTGCCTCCCAGGGCGAGTTGCTTAAGTGCTGCAATGACACATAAAGTATGTGAGACCCTAATTTAAAGCCTTGAACTAGCTGTTGCCTAATCCTGGCCTCTAAATGCCAACATGAACTTTTCCTAGGCCTCTAAAGTAATGGGGCTCCAAGTGGCTCTTAGCTAAACCCAAATGTATTAACGTATGGATGCTTTTATTTCTTTCAAACAACTTTTTACAAAGATGCTGTGAAACTGCTGTGTTGCAGGAAGGGCTGAGACCACAACGTTCATCTCTGCAGCCATTTTCAAAACGTCACAAAGCACTTGGTCTTCTAAAGGGGCACCCCAGGGTTTGCACCTGTGGGATCCCAGGGACCATGTAGCTTATCTCCACCATACCATTAGGCCCTTCTTTCAAAGCACAGTTTATTCTTAAAACCCACAAAATAATACCAAAATGGAGCTATTTCCTTAGGCAAAGGAGGCTTTGAGGCCTAGAGGCTGTTCCTTTTTATCCTTCCTTTCTGCTTCAGGGTCTGCTGCAGAAGCCTCCCCCCATCCAATCACATTCCCTGCTGTCCCACTGGTGGTTTTTGTAATTAATTGGTTGATTGATCTCAAATGGGAGTAGTTGATTAGTTTTAGGTTAGGGTAGGCCGAACTCCCATTTTAAGATCCAGCCAGCCAGTTACAATCACAGTGTAAAACCTCAAAACGCTGATCAAGCAATGGCCTCGCCTTACTGTTTCAACAAATCCATTGGGTCTTTTCCCTTCTGGACAAAACTGAGTTCTGGTCCTACTGCATATAGCCCTTAATAGGCTCCCTCAAAGATGCCTTTTTATCCTCCATGACCTTCCAACCCAGCTGTGCTCCACAGAAGTAAAACAGCTGGAGTATCTCAAATGCAGATTCTATTAGGCGTAGAGGATTCTTGGTAACATCTTGCCAAAGTAATGTGGACAGTGTTTATTTCAAAGTGCACAACATCTTTTTCCAATCGCATCTAGCTTCCTCATCCCTTGCTTGACACCTAGTTAATCAATGACCCCTTTAGCCAACCAGGGGGTACAAGTGACTCCCAAGGTAGAAAAAGTGCTTACCTGTTCGGTTTCTAGCTCCATTGGGATTTCACCACTTTCTTTAGCTTCTCTGAATGCATCATAAAATGTCCTTTCTTCAGCCTCCATCGTGATAGTCAGTACAGCATCGTATGCCTCCTGGAGCTTACGGTTGTTGTCAAAAGCATAGAACGAATTGTTTTGGTAAGGGAGACTATAAAGTAAAGTGTCGTATGGAACAAAGACGTATCTTCCATCTGTTATTCCCATTTCATGAGCTCTTGTGAGCAAGGCCGCCTGTTCTTCCCCTCCAATGAGCACCGAATGCATGCACATAATGATAACTAAAACAAGAAAATCAGAGAGAGCATTATTGAGTTTTCTTATTTCTGCACAAAAAAATAGAAGCATAGAAACATCAAATCCAACACAGCTCCATCCCACACATAATGCATTTGCGCAGGGGGCTGAGATCTGGTGGGCTGGTTAGCTGGAGGCTGGAAAATCTGAAGCTTGGGTCTGTCTATACGATGTACGTGCTATAGAGCATGATGATTTTTTTTTAGGGAGGCCACAAGCCAAGCACGTTGTCTGCTCAGCCCAATGATGGGGCATGCTGAGACTGTCAGCTCAGATGGATTTTACAAGCTGTAAGCTGGGAACACTGGGAAGAGAGTCTGTGTAAAAAAGCAACTTCTTGGGCAGTGCAGGGACAAATCTAAAAGAGGAAAAAAACCTTTTTGTGAGTCTCTTCCTGCATAGTGAAAGAAAGCAGAACTGCTGTGGTCTTTGTGGAAGGCCCTGGGACCTTGCTAAAGGAGCTGAGGCTTGCCAGTGACTCCATTGGGCTTTGGATGGAGCCATAAAGATATCTCCACCCAACTCTCCTTAAATAAGCTCTGTGGGTTTTATGGTAGACTTCTGGACTTGGATGGGAAGAAGGCAGGGCAGGGTGGCACCTTAGGAACCGTGAATAATATTCAGAGCATCGGATGAAGCAGACTGTCACCTATGAAAGCTTATGCCTCTCTGAAGCACTTAGTCGCAAAGGTGCCATCCTGCCCTACCTTCTTCTTGACTGCAGGCTAACACAGCTAACTACCATGTGATAAGGTTATTTCTACTGTTTTAGGAAAATGTCAGACAGGCCCATGTCTGGGATGTTTTGGATAAGGATGTCCCTGCCATGAGCAGGAGGTTGGAGTAAATGACATCCTGAGGTCCTTCCCAATGCATAGCAGCAATGATTCTAAAACTATTTTGTATTCCTGTTTGCCACTGGGCATGGGCTTTATCCTATAGAAACTCCCATAACACGTGGGGTAAGGGGGAAATATGCAATGCACAAACAGAGAAATGACTGCTACTTTCTAGTCTTTCCTGCTTTTCTGCGAGGTAGATGGGACTCTTCAAAATTGTATGGGGCTTAGGTGGAGTGGAGGGAGACAGGAGTTATTGTGCTATTAGGGGAAAGGACAGAGCAAGTGGAGGGCTGAAAATGGAGACCAAGGTTAGTGATGAAGAATGCAGCTGGGGGTGGGAGGAAGCCAGAAAAGAGCCAAGCTGGCAAGAGAAGGTAACATTTAAAACTGGAACTTGTGCAGTCACAGTCTGATGGGGGCACTTGAGATGGGCCTTGCTCAATGGTCTAGGTCCAGATATCCTGGACTTTCAGGCCATTTGACTTGGTACATGGTGGACTAAGCCAAACTCTTGGGTCAGAACAAGTTTCCAGTTCGGGGAGGGTTCAGATCCTGGTCTTGGGTGCCTGCAGATTTGACCCACCTCTGCATAAACCCAGTATTTCATATCTTACCTCCACTGCATACGCCGGTCTGATCAAACCAGCAGCCAGAGTCTGGTCTTGGTGGGGATCCTCCAGGGAAGTGTATCGGTCGGCCTAGGAACTGCACCGATTTAGCAGACATGTCCACCAAGTAGGTTGGAAATAGCTGGTTCCCTTGGCCCACTGTGTCCAATACCATATAGTTGTTCAGGCCCTGCCCTCCGCTGTCTGTGCATATCCTCTGGCTGAATCCAGGGAAGTCCAGGTTTTTGATATTTTCTGACAGCATTGGTCCTGAAACTGGGTCCCTTTCCTTTTGGGCATTCTCAAGAGCCTTGGCCATGAAGTAGATGGCATCGTAGATTGTTCCAAACAGTGGAGAGACCTGAAAACACAGTAGAAATTAAGTTAATGCTACACTGACACCAGTATCGAAGCACTCCCCCGCTATTCATCTAATTTAAAGCTCACAGTCAACAGGGCACTGGTCTATGACTAAGGAGACGGGTTCGATTTCCTGCTTTGCCACCTGGGTGATTGTAGGGGTGTCTTCCTTTCCCTTGCCCATGCACTTCTCCAGGCAGTTTCACTGGGCACCATCCAAAGGCTAAGATACATTCAAGGGACAGCGAGTAGCTGGATTTCTTTGCTAGGTGTCCTCCCTTGGAAGCCTAGTTATTGACCTGTAACCTGCACTCCTGTTCCTGTTTCCTCATGATTTGTCCCACAGAAGTAACGGTTGTACATTTGGTGACTACTCTCAAGTCACTGCAGTGAGGCTTGCAGCTCCTGGGGGGCCTAGGCCTGCCATCAGCATATAACGATTAGATTTTGCTACACACTTTCTGTGCCTCCCAGGGCGAGTTGCTTAAGTGCTGCAATGACACATAAAGTATGTGAGACCCTAATTTAAAGCCTTGAACTAGCTGTTGCCTAATCCTGGCCTCTAAATGCCAACATGAACTTTTCCTAGGCCTCTAAAGTAATGGGGCTCCAAGTGGCTCTTAGCTAAACCCAAATGTATTAACGTATGGATGCTTTTATTTCTTTCAAACAACTTTTTACAAAGATGCTGTGAAACTGCTGTGTTGCAGGAAGGGCTGAGACCACAACGTTCATCTCTGCAGCCATTTTCAAAACGTCACAAAGCACTTGGTCTTCTAAAGGGGCACCCCAGGGTTTGCACCTGTGGGATCCCAGGGACCATGTAGCTTATCTCCACCATACCATTAGGCCCTTCTTTCAAAGCACAGTTTATTCTTAAAACCCACAAAATAATACCAAAATGGAGCTATTTCCTTAGGCAAAGGAGGCTTTGAGGCCTAGAGGCTGTTCCTTTTTATCCTTCCTTTCTGCTTCAGGGTCTGCTGCAGAAGCCTCCCCCCATCCAATCACATTCCCTGCTGTCCCACTGGTGGTTTTTGTAATTAATTGGTTGATTGATCTCAAATGGGAGTAGTTGATTAGTTTTAGGTTAGGGTAGGCCGAACTCCCATTTTAAGATCCAGCCAGCCAGTTACAATCACAGTGTAAAACCTCAAAACGCTGATCAAGCAATGGCCTCGCCTTACTGTTTCAACAAATCCATTGGGTCTTTTCCCTTCTGGACAAAACTGAGTTCTGGTCCTACTGCATATAGCCCTTAATAGGCTCCCTCAAAGATGCCTTTTTATCCTCCATGACCTTCCAACCCAGCTGTGCTCCACAGAAGTAAAACAGCTGGAGTATCTCAAATGCAGATTCTATTAGGCGTAGAGGATTCTTGGTAACATCTTGCCAAAGTAATGTGGACAGTGTTTATTTCAAAGTGCACAACATCTTTTTCCAATCGCATCTAGCTTCCTCATCCCTTGCTTGACACCTAGTTAATCAATGACCCCTTTAGCCAACCAGGGGGTACAAGTGACTCCCAAGGTAGAAAAAGTGCTTACCTGTTCGGTTTCTAGCTCCATTGGGATTTCACCACTTTCTTTAGCTTCTCTGAATGCATCATAAAATGTCCTTTCTTCAGCCTCCATCGTGATAGTCAGTACAGCATCGTATGCCTCCTGGAGCTTACGGTTGTTGTCAAAAGCATAGAACGAATTGTTTTGGTAAGGGAGACTATAAAGTAAAGTGTCGTATGGAACAAAGACGTATCTTCCATCTGTTATTCCCATTTCATGAGCTCTTGTGAGCAAGGCCGCCTGTTCTTCCCCTCCAATGAGCACCGAATGCATGCACATAATGATAACTAAAACAAGAAAATCAGAGAGAGCATTATTGAGTTTTCTTATTTCTGCACAAAAAAATAGAAGCATAGAAACATCAAATCCAACACAGCTCCATCCCACACATAATGCATTTGCGCAGGGGGCTGAGATCTGGTGGGCTGGTTAGCTGGAGGCTGGAAAATCTGAAGCTTGGGTCTGTCTATACGATGTACGTGCTATAGAGCATGATGATTTTTTTTTAGGGAGGCCACAAGCCAAGCACGTTGTCTGCTCAGCCCAATGATGGGGCATGCTGAGACTGTCAGCTCAGATGGATTTTACAAGCTGTAAGCTGGGAACACTGGGAAGAGAGTCTGTGTAAAAAAGCAACTTCTTGGGCAGTGCAGGGACAAATCTAAAAGAGGAAAAAAACCTTTTTGTGAGTCTCTTCCTGCATAGTGAAAGAAAGCAGAACTGCTGTGGTCTTTGTGGAAGGCCCTGGGACCTTGCTAAAGGAGCTGAGGCTTGCCAGTGACTCCATTGGGCTTTGGATGGAGCCATAAAGATATCTCCACCCAACTCTCCTTAAATAAGCTCTGTGGGTTTTATGGTAGACTTCTGGACTTGGATGGGAAGAAGGCAGGGCAGGGTGGCACCTTAGGAACCGTGAATAATATTCAGAGCATCGGATGAAGCAGACTGTCACCTATGAAAGCTTATGCCTCTCTGAAGCACTTAGTCGCAAAGGTGCCATCCTGCCCTACCTTCTTCTTGACTGCAGGCTAACACAGCTAACTACCATGTGATAAGGTTATTTCTACTGTTTTAGGAAAATGTCAGACAGGCCCATGTCTGGGATGTTTTGGATAAGGATGTTCCTGCCATGAGCAGGAGGTTGGAGTAAATGACATCCTGAGGTCCTTCCCAGCCCTACTTTTCTATAATCCTAAGATTCAACACCTCTCTAAACTGTGTTGATTACATAGGTGACTGGTAGGGGGTGCACAGGGGTGTACATGCCCCCCCTGATGGCCGACACAGTAGGGCTGGTGTCCCCCCGACAGGGTTGGTGGCTTCTGCAGGTGCCCCCTCCCCTCCCAGACTCAGGAGGCACCAGTCACTCATGGCTGATTATCATCAAGTTGCTGCCGGAGACGATCGCAAAGCATGCATTTCTTTATCACAGTTAACTAGGGAAATATTGTAAATGAAAGTTGTTCACCCAGAGATAGATTAGGAGGCATAAATTATTCAGAAGGAACTTGGTACCATTTTATTTTTAATTGTAGATAGAGTAATATGACATGCTCACCTCAGAGCGGTAATGAATGTGTCTACAAGGCAGACACGAGAAACCAGGGTAGCGACTGCAATTATAGGGCTGGAATCTAGCAACTGTCTCTATAATTAAATGTGCCTGACAGCATGAGCCCTCCCTATGAGCACTTCTGGAAGTCAGTATCTAAATCCAGCTCCTGGGTAGACTGTGTGATCTGATCACTGGCCGGGGGACCAAGAAGGTCTTGAGTCCCAAATGTTGTGCTAACATTGATTTCCTGTGTGACCTCGTACAAGCCTTTACTTGTGCATCCGTGTCCTCATCAGCTAAAGGCAGGTGATGCTCCTGTCCCTCACTGGGCTGTGGTGAAGATTAGTGGTTAGACCAGAGCAAAAGGGTTTGAATTGGAAAGAGTTTACTTTCTTTTTTCACACAAGCTCAGCTGAATCCTTGATGTCTGAAGAGCACTGAGTAGGCGATTATGGCTAACGGGTGCATCAGAGAAGGCTCAGGCCAGGTTGGCTAAACTTCCCCTAGAGCTCACCACACATTTATTTCTTCCATTTGTCCTCCCTTTGGGGGCCATTGACCATCCCTCTTCCTCCCTGTGTCACTTCAGCTACCAGTCCCAAATAAGGGTCTCTTTCTCCATCCCAATCTGACTCCTCAATTGTGAACTCACTCTAGAGTCATCTCCATCTTTTTCTATTATACTTTTCCCACCTACTATCACTATGGAAGACCCTTCAAATTAGGGATCCAGCAAACCAACCAACTCTTTTATTATAGCTGAAGCCCTGCTGGGGATTGCCCAGGATGCTTTGAGCTCTTCTAGTGCAAAAAAAGCCCTCAGGCTTCTCGTGAAGGAAGGAAGGTCTATGGGACCGTCTTCTTTTCACTCTGCCACCAACACTCATAGAACTGGCTGGAAGAAACTATATGGCGCAGCTGCCATCTTTCTGAGGACATGGCTGCATGTCACCCAGAGATGCATCCTACAAGCTCTCACCTCAATAGGAAGCTGAAATTCTAACTGTGGTGAGCCAAATGGTCTTTTAATCACAGGCCTACTCTGAGCCTGGACCCTCCAAGAGGCACTATACCCCAAGAAAGTTTGCTGCCCATCGGGCAAAAGTGAGAAGCAAGGAGCTGTGGCTGACCACTGGGTCGTCAGGGGTGAGAGGACCTCTTGTGTGCCTCCATACTGTGTATGCACCACTATACAATGGCCAGCCAAGATTTGGCCCTTTCCATTTGAAGAACACTAAGCATTTGGATCTACTTCAAGGTTAAAACCATAAGGGTCTCGATTCCTTCCCCTCCCCTTGCACCGTTTCTGTCTTGGATAGGTGACGCACCTGTGAGGACAACTCCCAAGTCGCTGAATCTGAAACTTCAGTCTGAATTGGTCCTTTCATCCAAGACCAAATCTAAATCAATCCTAGGCTGAATTTTTGCACTGCTTTCTTCACACACTCCTATTTCTGAGATTGTATTAGCTCCTGGTATATCTTAGATTGTATTAGCTCCTGACATAAAACACTTATTTCTAATGCTGGTATATGTATAACTTAAATGCCTAAATGCCCCTTCAGTTAGCAAAACATACCTCTGTGGCTCATTCTCTACAGCTCTATCACTCCATTGTATAGTTTAGGGCCACAATCTTAAAATATACCGCATTATGTCCATCCACGCTGAACAAAATAAGACAGGTCATAGAATTCACGCACCCAAGGACTTTGAGAAAGTAAGATATGAAATAGCAGGGATGCTGCTATTTCATATGCCTTGGTACAGGATTTTTCTCATTGCTCCTGCCTTTCTGTAACACTGTGCTATCTCTGGAGTCCATCTTCAATCTAACTTTTTTATCACCATGGGAGCTTTGAAAGGATGTGCTCGAACTAAAGAATAGAAATGGTCAAAAGAAAAGGTGAACTGTATCTGGGATCTAACCAGCCAGTAGCCTCTTTGTACAAGTTGCAAGGTCATTTTTAGATAGGCCTCTGCTAAGTGCTATCTTCTCAAATGATCTGGGACCGACCTTCAGCTGCTGTAAATCACATCATCAC